AAATCCAATTACCTCCCCTCTATGGTGCCCAGACCACCATGGAGGGGAGGACACTAGGGTAGGGCAAGATGTGGTATACTGACATAGCGGCTTTCAGTTTTGACCTAGAAGAGGTTGCTGTGACATCAAATTCGGTGCAAACTAATATCTTTTTGATTGCATTAGAGCCTTTCAGCTAGGTGAGTTTTACCCAAGGACTGCAGTTCAGATCAGCATGGCATTTATGAACTTCTGACCAAATGGCAACTAATCTTGAATACTGAAGCTGGATTAATTTTACAGGATCACCAAATCAATAGGGTCTGTCCTCTGGGTACCATGCATCCATGGTACTATAATGGCTGGATTTAATGGAAATCCAACTATTAAATACAGTAGCACTAACAAGGAAAGGGATTCATCCTCTGAGCAGCATGGATGTGCTCATTGAATTTCATGGCAACCTGGATGAAAATGTCTTGGATTAGGCCAAAGTGTAGGTTAGAGTTCAGCATGAGAGTCCTGACCAAACTTGGCTCAAACCCAGTTATTTAGGTCCAGATGTGATGGATTTAATTGGTATGTCCCAGTTTGAGAGCCGAACCTGGCCATAAACCTGAATCATTTCATTCATTGCTACGCTAGGCTAATGCTAATGTAATATGTTGGCTACACGTGATCTCTTTCCCCTTCCACAAGCATTCTATTTATACTTGCAACATCACACCCATGGATGTAGATGATTGATACAGTCATTTTATTGCTTTGTAACATGCAATAAATAGCATCTCTCACTTATAATATTTTGTGTACGTGGTAAGGGATTAATTTCGCTATGAAGATTCAGGAATCTGGGTATTTTATCCAACTTGGAACCGGATCCAAAATAAAACCACCTTTCAAAACCTATCCCTAGTAAAAACTCATAAAGACAACCTGCATGTTACAGTGCAATAAATCAAACTAATGTATTACTGTTTGAATATCTAAAATGTCAGTGCTAAGAAAAAAGCAGTTCCCTCCTTAAGGATCCATTCAATGAGGATCCCTGGTCCAGAGCATCAACAGTATGGTCTGACCGTGGCTCTGAAGTATCCAAACCTGTTCCATTTAATTTAGGTCATTTTTTTATTTACATGTCAGGCAAACCAAAACACAAACCCAATGAGATGAATCAGGGCCAAACCCAGTTCCTCCCATGCTTTTAAATATTAACACCAATAAAATCTTGATAAACAACTTGGTTCTTACTGGGACAGAACATAAGTGTGGATCATCGTGAGCAGTATTGATCTGTGGTCAATAGTGCTGTTCCCTGGATAAAAGTGAAGGAGAAGGGAAACTTGTCTGGCAGTGAGGGTTGTGGGGGGACCTTGAATGGAGAGGAAAGTAAAAGGAGGCAAACGCCAAAGCAGAACTCTTCAGCCGTTATGTTTTCCCTCACTCTGTCAGTCTCCTCTTTCCACTAGCACCCTGTGCAGGTTGAGGGGGTCTCACCTTATCATCCACAGAGCTTTAGTGTTGAAAACTTCACTTTCAGTTGGTGACTTTTGTGTCCAACCAGAGAAGATCATTCACCATTTCCTCCTCTGACATCCCTCTATACAGGAATGGGATGATCGATTCATCAGTGCAAAAGAAGAAGGGATACTGGGAGGGTGTGTGTATGCAGAGAGAGTTGGCGAGGCTCTCACTTTTGAAGGTGGTTGAAGTCTTGCCAAGATATTTCATTTTCATAGTTAAATATTCAGTGCGCATGGTGGACAGGGGCAATTTCTGCAGTCAGCCCGCCATTCAAAAGTGAAAGGGATGTGGCTTGTGGATGAAGGGAGCGAGGGAGATAGACACGCATGGGGCTTCATGGTAGTCAGATGAGAGGCTGCCAGCTGCTGATGGGTGACTGTTTGAGCGTGGCGCCTCAGGACATGCCCGTTGAAAGGCGATGCGATCCAATACCCCCACTTATGTGAGGCTTATATACATATGCCCCCTCTTATGCAGAGGAGACCCATATCAATTGCAGAACTTCCAGTGTTTTGGTCATTATGCCAAGTTGTTTGAGCGAGTGTCTTGCATGTCTGAATGGGGAATGTGGACTTACTGGGCTATGACCACTAAGAAAAGCCTTCTCTGCATAAAACAACCTTGTGGCTCCTCAAAAATGTTGAATCACCCTGTCATGTGTGTGTCAGCAAAGCTGATAAGTGAATAAAGTTTTGATAAAGCAACTTAGTTTTACCACTGAAACTGTATTTGGAGTATTACTGGCTTTTGTTGGCTGGGTTAACTCTATGAACAAGAGAAAAAGAAACAATTTGATCATTACCTGTGATCAAGCAAACTATTTCTTGAGAAGATGCTGACTATATCTTAAAATAACACAAAAACATACTGCATACTTCTGCTTTAAAACGCAGACAGTTTTGCTGAGGTTTAAAGATACACTCTATGTCTATGAGATTTGTGCTTCAACTCCAAAATAATGTAGGTGCATGGAATCAGGGCTGTTTCTTTCATTAGAAAAGGGTTTCCACAGTGAGATCTGTGGATTATACAGTCACTAGGAAATTGCTTCTGTAAACAAATTTGGTTTGGTTCTCATTGTGTTGGGATACAGACAGACAATATGTGTGTGTATGAGATCAACCCTTTAAATACGCTGTGGGTGTCAGTGGCAAACCAGTGTTTCAGTCTATACCTATCAGAGCTTATTTAACATTTTGCATGCATAGGTCAAAGAGCTGCTCCAGACGCATACGAGGAGCTGGACACAAACACTATGTGCAGAAGTGTTACAGTCTGAATGTAGCAATATGAAGACTTTAAAACACTGAGCAATGTTTCCTTGCCCCCACCTCCACTACAGACATTTTCCATCACCTCCAGTCACTGAGAGGCTAAAAAACACATCCCTTCTTCCCATGATAGATCAGGTCGCACCTTGTCGTTTGGAAGAGTGGGAGCAATAAAAAATTACAAGGAGACATGTCGAGTGTTATTCATCAAAGAGCTCCACCTCACTCCATCTCAGAGCCAGCCAGTCCACAAGGGGAACTGGGGCAGGAAGTGACTCTGCTCCCCTCCGGCCCCAATCCAGTCCCTGAAATGCTGATCCCCCTTCCTCTGACTACACGTCCAAGTGATTACACTACAGCGTCCCCAACCCCTCACTCACACACAAACATATACACAAGCACACACACATGCTCAGAGGGGCTAATTAAGGCTTTAATATGCAAATGAGAGCCACAGTAAATTACACAGCTGGCAAATATGCCTGTTTTTGCCTGAAAATACATCAGGAGTGCAGTGAGGAGTGTGTTGCTGCTGTTGTTTTTGTGTTTGCAGAAAAACA